ATTTGACACAAAAAGGCTACTTACTCGATTGAAAATATTTATGTCTTGTAATAATTCAAAAGCAAATAAAAAAGCTTTTGGTTACCGGAGCATGTATATCGTTTAAAAGCACTCGTACTCGATTTGGTAATGATATATAAAAAATATTTCTGCTCCTAATTGTTAGAGATTAATAATGTGAATTCGGGTTTCAGACATACGTATAATACAAATTGGATAACATCGGTTAGATTTCTTCAAGAGGTTCGCAAGTGATCCTTACTGTTAAAAGCACATGAAAATTATTTCGAGAAAGAATATTACATTAACGAAGTCCAACTAACGATCCAATTTTATCAAACTATAATATCGTGAGTTAGAAAGCTTGCTAATATTTGGCTTGTACTCAGACATTCAAACATAACACATAGCAGGCAAACATAATTTAACTGCAAGTAGTTCTTTCTTTCATGTGGATATGTCAAGGCATACCGTCATTGAGGGAGCTAAAACTTGTGTTGGACTTGCACTGATTAAAACTTCACGGCATTCCGCCTTCGATGCAAAGAGTCAAGAGTCTTTCACAGTCAACCTTCTGGCTCTACATGCGCATCGGACTCATTCGATTCAGTTACACGAACACCATAAGGCTAAATAAACGAGTAATCGGCAGCACCAGTCTTCCCGGCCCTGACGGCCGACCTGACCTATAGTTCCACCTCCGACCACATGGCATCTGCGGAGGGAAGGGACACCAGGGTTGCAGAGGATAGACCATGTGGTGCACCGCAATACCAATACTCCTCTAATGCAGGCGACAAGGACATCCTTCCACCCCTCTCCCTCTCCATTCACCAACGCGCACTTGAAATTGCTCACGAAACCTACTCGAAGCGACCACCTCGGGCGGAAACTTCACCTCGAGCCAGCCATGTGAACTGCTCTGCGTTCATGGTGAGTGAACAAACCACGGATGTTTAGCCACCCTGCTACGACGTGGCGGGAACGCGATTAGGAGGACTTAATATAGGTACGACTATTCCAAATTCTAACGCTGACAAAACCTTTGACAAATACATAAATTGTATCTAGATGAAGATAGAGATAATGAAACGAAAGATAACATTGATACGAAACAAATGTCTCTTCGTCTTCATCATAAAAATTCGTTCCGGAAATGGGCCATAACCGTAGTAATTGTGAAAATGTTGACTTCAAGAGTAAAAAATCGAGAGATATGGAATCACTCGACAAGAAATCTGACTTTACCAGTGGTAGTAAAAACAAGGATTGCGACAGAGAAAATGAATCGCTCTATGAGTTTAAATTTAGCGACTTTATCAGTGAAGATGGGCATGATGAAACTAATCATCTGATACAATTGTGAAATACTGGTAACTTAGATATAGTGGAAGAAAATCTAAAAATAGTTGTAGCCTTATCTGGTTATCCAAAATCAAAGATATGGCTAAAACATATGGAACAGTTGCAAAGATCACTTAATTCATCACCAAGCTTGGCAGGAAGATTCGCTGTACCAAGCGTCCCGCACATTAGAACCTGCTCTCCGTCACTGGTATGGATATTTTACGTCTAGCCTAAACCTAAAGTAGTATCTTGTTACTTGTAAAATAAATTTAAAGGTATATTCATTTTATAAGTTTTTTTCTATTTAGGCAATTTGGACAGCTTAGTGTTAAAAGTGTTTCAGCCACACAGTTAAGTGTTTGATCATTTGTATATTCTACAAAAACTATTTATCAATATGTTAGTCGACGATTAATTTGATATTTACGTTAGTCTTCCAGAGCTTTTTCCGTAACGCTTTTGGTTTATGTCTTCGACAGCATTCGCTGTCGGTTTTAAGGTGACCTATCCAGCTTATGAACGCCCGATAAGATGGTGTAAATATCCAAAAGAATATACTGTAATGCAGCCTTTTTGGTAAGTAATATATATTATATGAATATGTGTAAAAAAAACAGTAGCATTCATCGATCTGAATTTAATGTGGCTGCCTTCGTTTTTTGATGTTGGATCTAACGGCATCCTACTACTACTAAACGAAATAGTTACTCAAATCGAGTGCTTCTTTTAAGTATTTTATTGGCGAACTTCGAAATATTTTATTTCTTATTTCTCAGACATGCAGGTTTCCTCACTATGTTTTCCTTCACTACCGAGCACGTCGTATATCAGCACTTAAAATTATTGCAATTAACAATTTCATTGGTGCCGGCGGGGATCGAACCCGGGTTTTTTTTTATTTATTTCAACAATGTAACAGTTTTAATTACAATATAATTTCTTCGTGCCATTAAACACAATTGTGTTTGTCTTGGCACTGCACAGTTTGCTCTAATATGTTATACATTATACTTTATTTTACATAATATTGAACTTTACCTTTACTTAACCTAAATATAAAATACCATATTACAATTGTGTGAGAGAATATTAAGCGTTTTTTGTACTTACATAATTTTATACAAACTTTATATTAGATATTTCTAAAACTATTCTTTTTTTTTTGTGGAGTGGGTAGTTTTTGATATTGTTTACAAGAAATAAGCAAGAATGTGAATATTATTGTCTTCGATTGTTCGACTCGCTTATACACTATACTGCAAATTAATTACGCGCGTACACACGGAATGCATTTTTAAGGACTAGTTTTTTTTTTTTTGAAGAATTCTAATTATATAAAAAACGTTTAAGTTTTGTTTTTATGTTTTGTGCTGTTAGTTGGCTTCTTAATTCTGTAGGTAAAGAATTTAACAGGTATGGTAATAGATATTTACGTGTTCTTTTACCGTAGTAATTATTTGTTCTAAGTAGTGAATAAGGTGTTGTATTTCTGGTGTTATAATTGCGATCTCTTGGGGTTGGGTCTATTGAGTACTCATAACATTCTTTCAGAAGCATATATTTCACCTTTTTATGTATGGGTAAAACATTGCAGTACGTGAAAAGGTATGAGTAGTCATTGCGATATTTATCCTTGATATTTTGAGGCAAAATAGATTTTAACAGTCTTATTTGTAAGCTGTATATTTTATCTAGATAAGTGCGGAAAGTTCGCCCATAGCTACTAAGACCATATGACACTATCGATTCCACTAAAGCATTATAAAAGCTTAAACGAATTTTAAATGGAACTGTATTACGAATAATATAAAATTTCGCTAGGACTGCTCTTAATTTACTACACACGTAATCAATATGATTCTTCCAGTTCATCCTATCGTCTATGACCACTCCTAAATATGTGTGCTATTTAACAATCGGAATTTTTTCACATGAACAAGTTATTGTATTATGCAGACAGAGATGATTATGAGCGATAATGCTGATTGGCCTAGTGTTCCTGATGTGACTTGAGTGAATGTGTAGTATCTTGGTTTTTTGTATATTTATTATAAATTATATTATAGTGTACTGTGAAACTTACAACAAGCACAACCCCTGAGACTCAGAGAAAGCATTTCAATGTGAACTAAATCTACATCATATTCATATCATAAGAGATATTTTTCCTGAAATAAATAAAATTAATATATGATGCACAGGTAAGCGCTATGTCTACGCGTTGCACACTTCAGACCACCAAGGTTTTCAGGTTACTCTAAGCTACTCCATACCACCCGGTAGCTCAGTTTGTACACATAAGAAATTTATCATGTATCAAGCCATATTTGAAAATTAAGCTAAATTATTTAAATTTGTCTAAATTATGAAAATTGCAATGTATGAAAACAATAACAATTGAGAAATCATCTAGGTGATAGGACACTTTCTCTGTCTACGAGTACGTCGGGGTAAGTACCACCTCAGTTTGAAATTGACTGCAGGTGTCTATGAACTATAGTAGCCACTCACTATCAAGTGAACTGTAACTTCATTTGCCCCTTCAGTTTTATAAAAAAAAAGTTGATTAACAGACGAGTTTTCACAGCCATTCTGTCATCTATTTGCCGTGTGACGGCAACATGAGGGAGCACATCACCCAATTTCGTTACATACGTACCAAAAAAAACTGCTACGGTAAAGCCCAGAAAGATTTTGTAAAGATAAAAAAGTTCAAAAGATTACCGAAACTAAACTGATACTCGGGAACCTTTCTTCCACATCGATTGCGGTTTTTCTAAGGCCGGCCCATTGCTATTTCAGTTTACTAATCCTTTGGGCTTTATCGTTAAGTCTGAATCTACTGGCGGATATCTTCATTACGGATTATATCACGCAGAAAAATTCCGAGCTCCAGACTAAATTACTCACTATAACTTGCTGAGTGACCTTAAGCTTCCGTCAGGGCCATTTTGTGGGGCACTCATAAACTAGCTAGCAAAAGCAGATTCTTATATCTGGTAGAGCCATGCTGCTACTACTATACTACTATGTTTAGTTGTAGCACGAATGGATTGACTCTACCTGCGAAGGACCACGCTCTCACAGAATATCAGCTTAATGCTGCTGTTTCGTATGATGAGTGTAGAGAACTGGAGACCCTTTTTACTGGAATCGGGGCATTCTATCTTAAACCTTAGGGATAACAACGCATCTGTATTTGATTTTCGATCGAAGATAGATGTAGATCTCAATGGCTCACAGCATCCACTTAGCTTCAGATAGTGTGTGCTTGCCTGTCACCATTATTCTCTAAAAAAGACTTTAAATTTATAACATAAGCTGTAAATAATTAGAAGCTATACATGTTATGTTGAAACAGCTAGATTGTTTTTTTCTTTTTGATGTTTCGATGTTATAATGTAGCATTGAATCTTGCTATGGGGTAAGAAAGCCATAAGAGAATTATGTAACATTAGTTCAAAGGAGTCTATTAGTGAAAAAAATAAAGAAATAAATATATTAAATTTGGTAGCTCCTTATATTTAAAAAAAAAATTATATATGTATCTACACATTTTTATATTTATGTGGTAGAGCCAAGCTGCAGATATATTTATAGTATAGTTGTAGCACGAATGGGTCGGCTCGACTGGGGAAGGACCACGCTCTCACAGAATACCAGCGTAAAATAGCAGCTTAACACTGCTGTGTTTCGTATGGTGAGTGTAGAAAACCGAATACCCTTTTTACTGGAAAAGAGGCATTCCATCTTAGTCCTCAAGGCTGGCAATGCATCTGTATTTTGATTCGCAAACGCGGATAGATGTAGATGTATATGGTCCTCAGCAACCACTTACCATCAGGTGGACTATGTGCTCGTTTGTCACCCTATTTCTATAAAAAATGTATCTACATAAAAACAAAATTAATTTTACAAAAATAGTGATGGACATTCTGCAAATACTGGGAACAAGGACAAAACTAGCTATACTAGTTAATGGACTCCAAAGTTTCAGTTATTCCTTCATGGAGTAATGAATACGCTTAACATTGTAAATTTTAGAACAAAGCCCCAGAAAATATGCAGTACCAAAAACTGTCTATTAAGGGTTTTTATACTTCTAAAGAGTACATCATTGATAATAATTCCTAGGAATTAAGTGATCGCTACCATGCTGTTTCTAAATGTTTCCATATATTATTGTACAAGATATTATAATGCTTAAAAAGACGCTAGGTTTCATGCTGGTTCTTCCCAGGAAAAAGGTTTTTTTTTCCAAACCAGTGGTAAAATCATAAATGACTTTCAATGAGTATTCTTGTTATCTATTTTGACTAAAAATTATTCCTCCAGCCAGCAGTTTATCACTGACAACACACACTTGTTGTACTTTCTTGTTTTAAGTCGCAATTATTAAAAATAAAGACTATAAAATTAAATTGAATTATTACATATTACTAATCTGTTGGGCTATGTCGGTCACTCTGGTTCTACTGCGAATATCCTCATTTCTAAGTTTATCACGCAGAGAAACTCCGAGCGTAGCCCTCTCCATAGCTTGCTGAGCGATCTTGAGCTTCCTCATCCGACCACTAGTGAAGGACCATCTCTCAGTTCCATAGATCATCACTACACGCACTAGTTGTACAGTCTGTAAGATTGCCATTTCAGATTAGTAAGCTGAAGTGGCAATGGGCCGGCCATATAGCTCGAAGGGAAAAAAGTTTCTCGAGTGGCAGCCTCGTACCGGTAGGCGAAGTGTAGGGCGACCCCTCACTAGATGGAGTGACGATCTGGTAAGACATGCAGGCAGTCGATGGATGCAGGTGGCGCAGTACCTTGCTTTGTAGCATTCCTTGGGAGAGACCTATGTTCAGCAGTGGACTTGTGAATCGCTGTAATGATGATGATGATGATGATGATTACATATTATATTCGGTATAAGAATTAAATGTGTAAATGAAAGTATTACACCTTTCAAAGTTCGCGAGGCCGTTCTTCGTGAGCTTTTGAATACTTCACTGTTGAGCATAAGAAATCGTCAAACTGTTAACCCCATTTTGTAATCCGATGATATGTCACAAACACAGAACATGGCACTTTTTACGTGACAGTGTATAAGAACTAATATGTAACATTTTTTTTATAGAAGAGAGGACAAACGAACATGCGGCTTATTTGATATACTTAATACGTCATATCTAATTACAAATTCAAATGAGTTTTTTAGTGGGAGCATTATTTGATTTACACTATTTACTTGCTAGAATCTCAGACTAGAATAGACTTTTGTGTAATCACTATTGTGTTCTTTGAACATAAGACTGTCTAAAATTTAATAGCCGTTGGCACGGATAACGCATAAATGTTACATTTGGAATTCAGCTCTCGATTTCTGACTCCGTAAGTATTCGAGACCCGCTAGAGGTAAACGTTCCTTTGTGATTGTTTTGCCTTTTGTGATTTATATGTTGTTTAGGAATTTCAAGCTATTTTATTTATTTTTGCTCACTTTACAAATATTTATTTAGTAATTTACCTATTATTGCCAATAGAAGGCAGTGCAATCAATATTATTTATTTATTTATTTATTCTTTTTTGCACCAAATATTTAGGTAGAACAGAGAGTGAGTTTGGGCAGTTAAGTTGTCATGATATAATACAGTTCAAATATATACATGCAACACATACATAAAATATACATATATATATAATTCATATACATATATAAATAAATACACACATTTATACATATATATCTCAATTAATCTATATATAAATCGCTACGGATATGCTCATATAGTTTTCTTTTAAAAACATTTTTCGCAGGTATTGTTCGCAGGTCAACAGGCAATTTGTTCCAGAGGGTAATGGAAGTAACTGTGAAAGAATTTGACAGCAACAATTCAACAACAATGCCCAGAATGGTGGAGAGGAGTGGACAGGAATAAACTTTGTGAAGAACGGAGATTGAGAGAATGAGTGTCACTAAGGAATTGAAATCTTTATTTTAGATAAAGGGGCGAGGAAGGATCATTAAGAACTGAAAACAGAGTGGACAGGATTCGGAAATCTCTGCGCTGGCGTGTAGTCAACCATTTTAACTGAGAGCGAAATTCTGAAACGTGATCATATTTGCGCAGGCCAAAGATGAATCGGATACAGTTATATGTTATTATTATGTTATTTATTATTATGTTCCTATGTAAATTGTAGGACAGTAACAAATTAAAGGCTACGATTTTCTTCGTCGTTTGTAAATTGTACAACAATGGATTGAAAAAAATAACTAGTATGTATGTCTTTCTTTTGTTAAACTAAGTCAACTTTCTTTGCAAATTTCGCTTACTTGGTAATATGACCGAATCTTCAGTTGACAAAGTAGTCAAGCGCTAGCTTCTAATAAATAAAACCCAAATAACTACAGAAGCAAATACAAGCCAACGTAATTACTGGATGTGGGGTATTTCTACTAAGTCTTCAAGCGAACAAATACTCTTTTGTTTGAAGTTAACTGTTCGTACGACTGAGAGTCGAACCCGCACTTATAGTATCTAAATACTCTGACCACTAAGCAATGCGGTCATACACTTTACCGTAAATAGTGTGTAGGTACTGTTCAACGCTGTATGAATTGTACTGTAATAGACACAATGAAAAATTAGAGTTTAAATCATAGTAACCTTTGTGTCGAACTCAAGTCTAAAATATGTAATAAACTTCATTTTACGTCGTCACCTTGTACGGCTGTGGGGGCGGAGCGCATCGGGGAATCTCTTGTGGTCCGTGGCATAAACGTTTGCGTTATTAAAGATAAGCGTTTTTGAAATAATATGTTCGCATTACAAAATCCAGAAAGAATGAGCAAAAAGGTCATGATCGACAAAATGAGCAAATAAAGAGAAATAGGAACATTTCTTTTTTATTTTATATTACCTACCAATTAATATGTTGTCATCATCCCTTTGGGGTAAAATGTAGCTAAAGGTAAGAAGCCTATACTGCTGCTGCTACTAGCTGGTGGTAACAGGGCATAAATTATTGACATACTTCGACAGGAGAAATATGCAAATTTCTTCTGGTATTGATACAATTCTTACACATTTTTTTTATTAAAAGTTAGAAACGAAGAATTTTCGTTTTGAATCAGGTTCCAGGAGAAACTGGTTTTGAAGATATTTGTTTCATCGTCCCGTTTGATGGGAAGACTATTATTTACAAATCAATAATGAATTCTGCTACACAAACTGGTGTTATTATTCTTTAAAATATTTATTTCCATCATTTATATAGCTTACTTAATAATTTAATTAAAATACGTACTTTCAAATTACTCAGAATAACTCTTAAATGTATTGTATGATATATTAATTAAATATTAGGTTCCTCGTCGGTAATATCGCTTGTGATTTTTACTTGTGGCATACATTTTTGAATAGATCTACAATACACACAAGGTGTGGCAACAATCAAAAGGGCAACCTCGACAGATATAAGACGTGAACATCCCTGCATAGTGTATTCAGGTGTCGGAGTTTGAACGAGGTGTATCGTACCATCATACAACACACCCTTTGTTAATTCAAAATGGTAAGACTTGATTAATAGACCTTGTCTCTAGGCCTATAGGTTTAACAAATTGTTCAAATTAACCTTTATAACAGAAAATTTATTTTGAGCTCATTTAACGTAATTTCTTTTTCTTTTTTTTTCTTTTTTTTTAAAAACGTTACCCCCACACTAGGATTTTCTCCTGTATCGCGGAGGCAGTTTACAAACACAAATTGCACAAGGACAAACATCCAGACCCGGAACAATTATTTGTAGGCCGTACAAATACTTGTTCCGTGCGGGATTCGAACCCGCGGCCCCAAGCGTTGCAACTCATTGCTAAGCCACTACGCCACGGAGCCGTAATAAAGTTTTTGATAAGTACACAATTATGTGTGTTCAAGCTGATTGCACAATAACTACGCAAATAATGCAATATATTCACTATGTGATAAATATAATATGTATTTTTTAAATATCTAATTTTGTAGATTACTAATAAGGTAATTTTTAACTTAATTGTGTCTCATATAAGAGGAGGGTAGAAACCGCAAAAGGTGAGCGAGTGCTGGACCAATATAGATAAGTTATGGGCTTATGGATCAACGTGTTGAATGCTGTTAGTACAGCAACTCCAAAGCTACTGGTTACCTATGCCCTTCGAAGAGACGAATTTTACGATAAAAGCGGTAAATGGATGGTACTTACTCTAAACAACTGCTGGTCACAAGATAGGATAGGCCTCCTGCCTATCCTATCCTATGCTTATTTCAGGCGATTGATAAAATTTTTGAAATTTTTATATTAAAAAGAATTGGTTGAAATACCATTTTATATTTATCTATGATTGCGATTGGTCAACACTCGCTTTTTATTTCATAATAATAAAAAAGTATACACTTCAATTATATTGTATATTTCAGATATTTGTGGTTACATTGATCGTGATGGGCGTGGCTTCGGCTGCCCGGCTAGAGCATCTCACACAGCAGGGAGGTTATGGTAGCTCCGGCACACCTTTCCACTACGAGAATGTCAACAACGGTGACGGAACTTATCAATTTAGGTTTGTATTTGCGACATAATAAACTTGTAGCTAGTCTGTATATCGAGTAGAATTCTTGGTTTTGTGGGAGCTTCAAGACCTTTGCTAAGTAAAGGAAATAATAATGATACAGTAGTATCATATACGTGATTGATTGATTGGTTATGGTTATTGGTTATTCAGCACTATCATCACCATGTAGGGACGGCGTAAGAGATCCACCATATAATCCCATGCGTGTCGTAAAAGGCGACGGAAACTGATGGGTAGCGGCATCTTCCTGATAACAACTGAAAATAATAAAAAACTACGATTGCAAACCCGTCTGTTAATCGTCGCCAACTATGGCCAGATCCCTCCTATGAGGCAATCTATTGGGGGAGACCTATATCTGTCACTTAGATGGGGATGGGGGAGCAGTGGACTTTTGATAAGATGTATTATATGAATGAATGAAAAAACTATCGTATTAATAACTTATTAGAGGTAGACAAATCGTTTTATTTAAAACTGGATACACCTCCCATGTATTTTTTGTAAATTTTGTCACTTGTATCGTTTCAAATGTAGTTAAAATGATATTCACCTAAACACAACATAAAGGTAGCGTAGATTTAGATTTTATAATACTTAATGCGGTAAATTTTAAAACTTATATAAAAAATACCAGAAAAACGCGTGCAGTATAAGACGATTTATAACAATTTAACGATCTTAATTTCGGACTAGGTATAACTCGCTTGATTCTTAATCGAGGTTCTGTATAGGTATCTACGGGCCACAACATTCACTTATCATCATATAAACTGTGCGTTTATTGACCTTACTTTTATAAAAAAAGATCTATTATTGAAAGGGATTGCAGCAATAAGAATCCACTGCGGTGTTCGAAAAATATGTTTTTTTCTTAGTTACGTAAACTTCCTCATGGTGTATACTATTACGCACTCTCATTTCTGGGAAGGTTTTAAAGCAAGGAAGTGTCCGCCACGCTGCCGCAATGCATGTTGGCGGACTTCACAAGTCCTATAAATATTTTTATTTGTTTTTTCCCCAAACATGCAGGTTTCCTCACGTTGTTACCTTCACATCCGAGAAGGTGACAAATCAGCACTTAAAATTGCAATTAACAACGTCATTAGTGCCGGGGGGAATCGAATTCACGAGCTACTACGGGTACAAATAGTTCCTATGTACTTAATAATTTTAGGGGACCAGAGGAGTAAGATAGCTAGCGTTATATAGAATTTAACTCAAGTGCCCGTATCCAATGGATTTTGATGAATTTATTTTATACAAATTTTTTTTATTATGATTACAGTTATGATACACCTAACGGTATATCAGCGCGTGAGAGTGGGGCTCCACGTGCGCAAGGCCCCGAAGGTCCCGCTGTGACGGCAGAAGGCGCTTTCTCTTTCCAGACTCCAGATGGACAGCAGATATCCTTGACATACACTGCAGACGAAAATGGATTTCATCCCGTCGGTTCTCATCTTCCAACACCTCCGCCTATCCCTGAGGCAATACTACGCTCCATTGAGTTCAATCGACAACATCCTTCTTCGTAAGCATTTACTACCATTTTTGAATTTATTAAACATTTTTTATATAACATATATACATATTTATGTACATATTTATTTAGCACATACATATAACTATGAATATATTATCTGTTTAGCAATACAAATGACATGGATGAATCATGAAAGACAGAGATGAAGTCACTAATTTAGTAGAACAGAATTGTGATTGCGCTTCAAGACCTTTTAACTGAGGTGTGGCTTCGATATTAGCAATGTTAGGCAAATCGTATGCCGTACGCACATACTACAAATAGAATATCTCGAACTCAAACTAAGGTCCTATAATCTGAAATCTTGTAATACTTTTTAATCCCATTATTTGTATAGCTTTTTTTTATATGAGTAAACGTATTATTAAATTGCATTGTTCCTATCGCTATCATCAAACAGACGTTTAATTAATAACTTAACCATTTTACCAACGTCATAGCATAGCACTATATCTAGGTAATGCAGATATTGGGGGATAGCCCAACAGTCTATATTGTGATAAAAAACAAACGGCATAGCACTGTTTAATTTATAAATATTTTGATTGCTCTCACGTACTCAAAAAACAATAAATATTTTGATGATAGATTTATTTGCATTTTAGCTATCATTATAGTTAAAACTAGCAAAACGCTTTTTACATATAATTTTAGTTATGAATTTGAATTGGCCGATTTCCTAACCAAGTGCGAAAAACGAGAAGGTTCTATAATATTCGACGCGTACGTATGTTCATATGAACATACAAAAAAATCATACGTACAATTACAGTGAACTTTCGGAAACCGTTGTACCAGTAAACCCTAGATTTAAGAAGCTGTTATGAGGATTTTAAATGGAAATTTATTTTATTTAATTATGTTATATTCGTTAATCAATTATACAGAGTCATTTTTCAAAGAATAACCAAATTTTAAACTTAAGTTCAAATATATAAATAATGATATACCGTTATTGCAGTTTTTGAAAATACGAGTAAGGCTTCTACTTTTATTTGAAATTATCCCAAATTAAATGTAACTTATGGGCAACAACTTCGCGTAAGATTTTTGAGTTTTTTTTTTTAAATTAATTTTTCTTCACCATTTGCCTATATTACTTATTCTGAGCCTGTACTGTAAATTTGGCCGGTTATTGCAAAATAACCCTGTATAATAATATTTAAAACTTCTTTTCAGTGACGACGGGTCCAACGGTCGCAACGCCTACCGTTACTGAACATGCGTAAATATGCTCCCAAGTGAATTCCGCACCGTATCTCATAAGAAGCATGGACTGTGATAACGAATCTATAAGAGTTACCTTACACATTTAGTGATATTTGTACGAGAAACTAATGCTTATTTATATTAAAACTATTCGGTTCAAACCGCTCAATTTGTTGTTATTTTTTTACGATTTTTGTACCTAAAAAATATATTGGTCGGATTGATGGCGGTAAATCTAACCAATACACTGAACAAAAATTTTATAGGCTGGTGTTCGAGAGCAGTGCGTGGGCTTCAGCTCTGTGTCACTAACAAGTCTATCAAGCGTGATGAGTTTGGGAAAACCTTTGAAGTATTGATGCTAGCTGGTGCATTCCTAATAAATATTATTCATATGGATGTCGGTAAATCCATCCAATACACTGAACAAAAATTTTATAAGCTGGTGTTCAAGAGCAGTGCGTGAGGTTCAGCTCTGTGTCACCAACCCGACTGTCCAGCGTGATGAGTATTGATGCTAGCTGGCGCATTCTTGGAAAGACTCATGGAGCATCATTTAACTTTACAGACTTACAGATTTTGATGATTTGTTTTATTCACTAATGATTGGGTAATGAAAGAAAAATAGATGTTTTTACAAATTCACTAAATACTAAAGTAAATAGAAAATTTAAAAAACCCTCAAAACAAAAAGAGCTGATGATCTTCAAACGGCTGAAAAGATTTTCTTGAATCATAGCTAAGAACACACTCGATAACGTCACCCTAAAAAAAAAACTACTACTCTAACTACATGTAAATCGGTTCATCCGTTTGGGAGCTATGATGCCACAGACATACACACAGTTACACAGATACACACGTTAAAAATATAACACCCCTCTGTTTCGTCAGGAGTTAAAAACACAACACAAAGTCGCCTGTTCAATTGTCTGTGTATTTGCTTTTATAAAAATAAGTACCTACTTGATCGATTTTTATGCGGTATTCATTATCATTTAAAGAATTCGTAAAGATTTCTTATATTTACGCGAACACTACACATTTAAATAAAACTAATTTTACGGATTTTATCGCGTATATTAACTTATTTTACATTCCCGACGTTTCAAGCGCTTTACAGTACGTGACCATGGGTGCTGTAAAGTGTAAAGTAATCCGTAAAATTAGTTTTATTTGAATTCGTAAAGGTTTATGTATAATACATGTATATTTTATTGTAAGGATAGTTGAAAATTGTTGATGTTTTGAGAACAAGTCATCAAAACGACACTATACTGGTAAACGCACCTGTGCGAAGCCGATGCGAGTTCCTAAAACACACTTCTAGATACTTGCTAAGTTGGAGAAAGCCTATAAATATTTCTGAGGCATTTATATTACACTCGACTGACAACAACTTTCGGAAACATTACAGCCTATTAAAATCCACTGCTACCCCATAGATCAATTCAAGAATGGGATATTTGCCATAGTTGCCTTAAACTGCAACCCGAAAGACATCCACAGCAACCGATGTTGATTAGCGGTGTTGTGCATTTGCTTGCAGACGATTTTGGAAATGCACTGCAAGTTATCGAGAAAGCTGCGTGAATTAAATGGACGCATGTTTATAGGCATCGCCACTATGGTTAAAATTACTGACGCGCAAACAGGCGTGACTTTAAACCGTTGCCGTTACCGTTACAGCCTAATAAATCCCACCCGTTACTTAACATATGCCTCACCAATAAATTGCATCATATTATGCTGATATTTGCCATAGATGTCATGCTTGGCAAACGGGTTGCCAACCGCAGTTTTCTATATTTGGTCGTTATTAGACGCTGCTGTCCGTTTCCAGATTTGTTTTCCTCTGTCGTCTCTTACTCATACGGCACCCACGGGATGATATAGGGTAGTGGATATTCTTACACCGCCAGAACATGGTAAGAACTACATCCACATGAAACTGATAATTGTGGACGTTGAAAGACGTTTTAATTAGTTAGGACCTAACCGTCCCGAGGGTATCGTTAATGACGACTATATATCAAGAAAATTCTACAGACTAATGGCGAATAAGCCATCGTAGATGTGACGCATGTAAAAGTAAGATAGAGACGCAAAGAAAATGGAAAATGTTAGCAATTCCCTTATAAGATTTCTCATATTAATACAAAAGTACAGTAAGTACATTGAGTATGTTTCTTTCATAATTTTTGAAGTTATACTTTTTTTTGGGGCCTTTGGGAAAAAATGATGAGAGTGAATTTTTACGATGCGCACGCACACCGACACCTAAAAACAACACCATGAAGTTGTTACGATGCGCGCACACACTGCCATTTAAAAGCGACAACTTCAGTGCGTAATTGCCTCTAAAGTATTTTTTTGTTTTGTTACGCTAAAGAAGTATAGCTTCCTACATTCATACATGATGTTATGTGGCTACTGCAGCTCATGGACATTTGCCACCAAATTTAATTAAAGACATCTGCGGACTAAAATGTAATGCTTCACAGCGTGTAACTGTTCTGGCACTCTATATACTTGAAACCGAAATACAGCAGTGTCTGCACTGTTACTTGGCGGCAGAAATAGGTAAGTTGGTGGTAGATACCCATGGTAGATAACCAAAAAGTTCAAAAGGCAACGGATGACGAGATAAAAGAAGCAAGAATGAAGTATAAAAGATTGAAATCAGCAGCGAAAGAAGTTGTGTCTAGAAAAAAGGAAGAACGAAAGGATGATTTCGATAGGAGGCTCACTGAAGATTTCCAGTCAAACATTAAGTTTTTCTGGAAATCCATTAAAACAGCCAGAGGAAAAACTTCTACCTCGGAGCTGATTACAATCAGGAGTCAAGATGGGAGCATTATAAAAAGAGAAGAAAGTTTGTTAAAGAGATGGAAAAAGTATTTTCAAAGTTTGTTTGAAAGAGAGTAAGTGCAGGTACAGCATCCGGCGCCTTCCATGGAAACTAATATAAATGTTGATGAAAGTGAGATAAGCATGGATGAAATAGTGAAAGCGCTGAAAAGTATGAGATTAGGTAAGGCTGCAGGGTATGACAGGATTACCGTCGAGATGCTGAGGGCTGAACAGGGCATAGTGGCTAGTCAGCTGTACCGCCTTTTCAATTTGTGCTGGCGAAATGGGCAAGTACCGGGAGACTGGTGCAAAGCCGTAATCGTGCCATTGTATAAGGGAAAAGGGTCACGGCAGGGCTGCATAAATTACCGCGGTATAAGCCTTCTCAGCGTCGTCGGTAAATTGTATGCGAAAGTGCTGATTGAAAGGCTTGTGAATAAAACAAACGAAAAATTATGGGATGCAAAAGCGGGATTTAGAAAGGAAATGGGATGTACAGATCAGGTCTTTTCCTTGCGGTGCATAGCCGAAAATGTTTGGCTAAAAACAAGAAGATCTATTGCGCGTTCGTGGATCTAGAAAAGGCCTATGATAAAGTGGTGAAGAATGAATTGTGGTTAGCACTGTCGGTGAACGGTGTGAGCTGTATCCTCATACGAGCATTGCAATCTCTTTATAGGGATTCTAGTGCTTGTGTAAGGATAAACGGGGCATATACTGAATGGTTTAATATCGAAAAATGTGTTAGACAGGGATGTGTAGCGTCACCGTGGCTGTTTAATCTGTTCATGGACAATTGGTTGAAGAATTTAAAAGAAAATGAAAGTGGGTTGAGAATGAATGAGTTACTCGTCAAATGTTTTCTCTATGCTGAAAACCAAGTACTACTTGCGTCTTCGGCCTAGGAGTTGCAGGAGATGGTAACTGCTATGAGTGGAGATTTTGTTGGAAAGGGAATGAAGATGAATGTAAAGAAGACGAAAGTGATGGTATTTGAAAGAGATGAGGCAGTGACAGGCTGCAGTATCGTGATTGGAGATGAACAAATTGAACAGGTGAAGGAGTTTGTGTATCTGGGTTCAAAGTTTACGAAAGATGGAAAGTGTGAGAGTGATATCGAAAGAAGAATGAATGCAGGAAACATGGTGAATGGAGCTTTGCACTCCTTTATGAGCAGTCGGAAGGTATCTAACAAGGCTCGTTTGGCTGTGCATGAGGGGGTGTTGGTTCCGACACTCATGTATGGAAGTGAAAGTTGGGTATGGCAGAAGAAACATGAAAGCAGAATAAATGCAGTTGAGATGAGAGCGTTAAGAAGTATGATAGGAGTCAAACTGAGTGACAGGATAAGAAATAGTGAGATAAGGAAACGTGTTGGTCTAAAAGAAGATGTAGTGACAAAAATTGAGAAAGGTATGCTGAGATGGTTTGGCCATGTCGAGAGAATGAATGAAGAACGTTTGACGAAAAAGGTGTATAAGGCGAGTGTGAATGAAAGTGTTGAAAGGGGTAGACCTAGGCGGACGTTTCTAGATCAAATTCCCTAATTTCTTGAAAAAAAGCCAGGTCAAAAGTACCCTAAACCGAAGAGCATGTATGAAGGGAATAATGAAAGTGGACGAAGCGAAACAAGTATGTAAGGAATGTAGCAAGTGGAAAGAAGTGGTCTCTGTCTACTCCTACGGGAAAGAGGCGTGATTATATGTATGTATGTATGTATTTAGATACCCAAAAGAATTTCTAGATAGAAAAGGAGTCTTACCATCTGGTAATTAAATTTGTTTTAATGCGATACAAGAAAGAGTTCTCATCGCCCAAATGCGTTTTGGCAGACTTCCTATGCCCTCGAAACATTTTATCTTAATTTCTCAGGCCTGCAGATTTCTCACAATGTTTTCATTTACCACTGAGTGCGTGGTAAATCGTCATTTGAAATTGCTCAATTTATTTATTATATAGTTGTTCTAAGAAATTTTAAATGAACATTTTCTATATGTGGTAGAGCTACGCTGGAGCTATATTATGTGGTATCACCACCGGGGAAGGACCAGGCTATCACAGGATACCAACGTAAAATAGCAGCTTAATACTGTTGTTTCGTATGAGTTTAATGGACCGGAGACCCTTCTTACTGGAAATGAGGCATTTCATCTTTCATCATTTTGATTATTAATAATTAAAGATAAATTTAGGCGTCTATGTGCCACAGCATACACTCACCCCCAGGCGGACAGTATTTTTGCGCCATTTGGTCACTCTTCTATAAAAAAAGATAAGCTACTAAACCACTAAAAGCTTCAGGTCAAAATTACAT